TGCAAAAATGTTTGGTATCACACTTGTCCTGCTTAAACAGAGAATCGACCTGTATTTCATAGTATGTGAATATGTAAAGCAGAACAGCTCCCCAGTGGCACAGCAGTAAGTCTGTGAACTTATAATCCCCAAAACTAGGTTTTGATAGCCGTGGTGGGCACAGCACAGATAGCCCATTGTGTAGCTTTGCACTTAACCCCAAACAAACAAAGCAGAACATGAATAAGAAAGCCTACCCTCTTTCAATGTATTTTTATACATTGGTTTTCTGAAGTTGAAGAATCTGTATTGTAAAAATGTGATGTTTCTAATATTTGAAGTGAAAGAGAAAAATTTCCAATTCTTAAAAAAAAAAATAACATTGTAGATTAAATCAAGAGTTTCAAAATAAAACTTAAAAATCGAAGTAAAACTAACTGTAATAAAATTTTTTCAAATTGGATTGTTTTTTTCCTAAAAAAAAAGTGTTCATAAAAGAGATAAAGGTAAGATAAGTTGATTAATTTTACTGGATTTGTGTACTGAGTTAGATGGTACCTTTGAAACTGAACAGTGTATTGTTTCTTTGTATAAAAGATACATTTTTGATTTGAATTTAGCTTAAGTTAAATTCTTTTCAAAATTTATTTTGAATTTTAGTTTTACAAATATGTATGCTAAAGATCTACTTTTTGGTCTAACTGAACTTAGATTAAGTTACTCAAAAATCTGTATTTGAAGAAAAATTTATTTTAATTCTGATTTTAAACAAAGTCTGTGATGATCTTTTTATACCTATTGAACCTCATGATAGTACAATTAAAAATTTCAAATCATTTTCTATTTGAAATATTTTAGTTGTTTATATTTTACATTTTATAAATATCCTACATTAAAATGTACTCTTAATAATAGGTGCTTTATATTTTAGTTATTATATTTTTATATTAGATTATCTGTACCTCGAATTATTTTACAAATGTTACAGTTTTGACTATAACAAAAGATTTTTATTTAACATGTAAATTGTGACTCACACTTTGTCATGTTAACATTCTCAGTCAGCAGTTTGGTCAAATGTATCATCCATCAATTTTTTTTCATAGTTAACTGCTTAATGCAGTCATTACTTATTTTAAATTTTGAAACTGATTTTTTTCTCAGGCAACACCTGTGTATAGTGTACCATTAGTTTTAGCATCTTGTGTAGAAAATGTGTGGGTCTCGCCACGCAAGAGTCTCCATACTCCGCATCTTACTGAGGCTTTATGGATTGCTTGTGGGGCTCAAGGAATGAGAGTAAGTATTGCAAAATACGTTATATTTTGTCTGAAAATTCAAGTTATTGTTCACTTTATAGTGAAACTTGGATCACTAAATGTGAGAGTAAAAGACAGTGAAATACATTAGTTTTATCTAATGAATACTTTAACTTTAAAACTTGGATCACTTGTACAACTCAGGAATTTAGGGTAGGGAATATTAAACACCTTATTTTATTGGAAAGGAAATATTGAATATTTATTATTAATTTCAATTTGTAATCTCGATGCTCACTAAAATTGAATATTGAAAAATATATCAAAGTTAAATCTTCAAACAGCAGTTTGTTTAAAAAGGATTTACTATTTTGTAAAAATAAAAATCCAGATATGAAATTTTGTAATTGTTTTTAAATTAAACTTGTCTTTGGCTGAAAGAAAGGAGAAACAGACTTTGTAAAAAAAAAAAAAAATTCTAGCTAAGAATAAGAATAATAAAATATTTTTGAAGCATTACAACTTTTGCAAAAAAGGCTAGATATCTTTTATATGATCATGAATGTTATTAGTTCCTGAGCCTTTTGATAAACCAAAGATTACAGAGTATATAGTTATTATTGTAACTACTATAATACTGTGCACTGTTAAGCCAAAAGTTTTGTCATATATCCAGGTGTGGCTACCTTTGTTTCCTCATGATGAAGAAACCTCTCGTTCTCATAACTTTATGTCCAAAAGAATTATGTTACCTGTCCAAGTACAAATATATCCTCTAGGTAAGGTATTCTTAGAAATATATACACTGTACATCTCATTAACTCCAAAAATAAAAACTCAAGGCATTACATCCATAAGTATATAAAATTAGTAGTTTGTGAAAGATGTATTATCTTGTATTACATCAAGAAAAGTTAAAATGAATTTAAATTTGTAGTAAGAAGTTAATTGGAAAACCTTAACATTAGTAGTTGGTCTTGATAGCAAGGAATCATTTTATATCTTTAACCTGAAGCCAAGAAAAGAATGTCAGATTGATCTTTTTTTTTAAATGGAAATATCACAATCATTTTGCACATATGCTAGGACTTGGGAATTGCTATACACTGCAGATGATGATTGGTCACTAATTATTTGACATAAACATTGAGTAGTGAAGTTGATGTAGCCTTTTAGGAATAAAGGATATTCTCATGATGTCAGAAAAATGCACATCTTCAAGAACAATTAGTGACTTCATTAAGTTGTAAATTTTATCCTCATAAGAAAAAAGATTACAAAATCTAAAAGTACTTATGAAAAAATTCTAGACAAAACTTTGTGACAATATTCTATTTGGAAGTCAAACATGTTGATATCATTAGAAAAAAAAAAGATTTTTTTACTAAGTAAAGCAGATACTTTTTCCTTGCAGTGGTAATAACTGTAGGGTTTTATTTGTTTAGATCAGCGTTTTTCAAACTATGTTCCACGGAACACTGGTGTTTTGTCCAAGATTTATAGATGCTCAGTGAGAAAATCATGATTTTAAATTTTAATAAAATATTTAACACTTTTTATATGATCATAACTTATTATGATATATTTTTTTTATGTATTAGAATTACATAATATCGATTTTGTATTGAAGAAGAATTATAGAAGATGCCATATCTATTCTATGCAATATGGAGAGGTTTGTACCTAAAATACATTAAATGCATGTAAATACATGTACAAATTCATTAATATGTAATTTGATTAAATAAATAAATGAATAATATACAAATCTAGAGGGCGCTGCATGTGCAACATACCCACTACATTCTACACCCATATTCTTGTGTTCTGAAAGTTTTTTCTCAGCTGAAAAGTGTTCCATGGCCAAAAAAATTTGGAAAGCGCTGGTTTCAGTGTATATCAAGATGTGTTTATGTTCTTACTGAATAAAGTGATGAGGAAAATTCTTAAGTATTTGTGTAATGCTGGAGAGATCTAGTTAAAACAAATGATGTGAAGGCTCTAGATGTTAAGTTTTTTATTGATGTAGTTAAGAAATGAATACATCTAACTTGGAGTTTCATTATAACATGTAATTATTGTATCTGGTATAATAAAGAAGTTTAAGTTCAGCATGAAAATTATGTAACCATTGTCTCTCGCAATAAATAAATAAATAGCTATGCTAGGGCCTAAAGTAAAACCTGTAGCAACACCATCAGTTTGTTCATAATCTCATTATTAAAAATAAAACGTGAGTCTTTAGTACCAAATTTGAGAAGTTTGTTAAAGGTGTTTTTTTGGGTACTCTTTACAATATGGTCACTTTGATAAACTAGATCAACACCCAAATTAGTAGTTTCTTTAGGAGAAATGATGATGAATAAAGATTCAACATAAAAATTGGTTGTACAAACAGGTTTTCAAAAACTTAAATTTCATTGTCGGAAAATGTAAAACTATTACTAGAAAGGTATTTAGAAAATTCTTTAATTTCTATTTGAAAGTGGTGTTTTCTTTATGTAATTTTGGTATTCAGAAAATCAGATTTTTTAATAAAGTATTTTTACCAAAAATTTGTTCATGAATATATGGAATCACAGTATTGACTGGTCTGAGTATAAAATGATTTCCATGTTAAGATTAAAAATACTTTCTTCACCTGACAATTACCAAATTTCACATGCATAATCTCTAAAACCTCTTAACTAAATATCAAAGGTTGTTTTGAGTAAAACTTTATATTTTATTTGTTATTTTCTGTACCCTAACTCTATACTCCCTTGGTCAATTTGACCAAACTTGTAACCACCATAAAAAAAACAAAAAACAACAATAAATCTCAATTACCCTTTTTTTTCTTTTAGATTGACTGAAAATTATAACAGGAAACCATTGATTTTTGTCCTAAATAGTTTAAAGCTTGTAACAGAATATATCTGTTTATACTTACATTTTATTGTTTTATTGCCATTTGACTCTTGTCTAGCTAATAATCCAGTCACACAAGCTGTAAATCACTCGGCGAACACATAACTAAAGTTTTTGTATGGAATTACATAACACACAAACTGCTAGCGAGCATATCTCCTGAAGAATTATTATTTTTCTTTATCTTACCTAATCTAACCTGATAAGTTTCTAATCTTTACATTTTAGTTACTTTTATAATAACAAATAAAGAATATGTATGAAAAACAAGAAATATGATGCTTACTTGTGTCCTCTTGTTTGTGTTTTTTGCTGCTGACTGTTGATGAAGGTTAAGACTACTTTTTTTATACTAATGGTACTAATACACTAAGCATTTAATTAATCAAATAATGCACACAAGAACACAGAATGATAGCTTGTACAAGACAAATAATGTCTTATAATTCATAATTTATCTGGCTTTCTAACTATGCAATATGAGCCTTTAAAAATTTAGCTAAGCTTGTCAATGTAAGTACTGCAAGAGGGTGTGACTTTCTAGTTTATGGTTCTGTAAACAAGTAAGATTGAAGACTATAAACAATTAGGCTTTGTCTTAGTAATATCTATATTATAATGAGCAACTTGCATTAAATTCTGTACTTTTCAGAGGAGTGATAGATAAATTAGAGAAGAGGGAAGACCTAGAAAACAAATGTCACAATTTTCATGCTGTGGGAGTTTGAGGATTATTTTTAATATCTCCTTATAGAATTAAGAACTTAAAACTTTTATTACAATTTGATTAATTATCTACATTTTGATGCCAAGATTATAATATTTAATGATAATAAAGTAGCTTAATTAAATTTTGAATGTAACTCTCTAAAAGGTCATGGCATGCGCACTTTGATCTACGTGTAGCAAGAGAATTAAACCATATAAGATATCAGAATCAGTAGGCCTAATGTCATTCCAAACAACATTGGAAATAGTTATATTTCTTTAAATTCAGAGAAATGCTTTAAGTTTTGATGATTTTAGTTAGGTCATGAAATTTGGTATGATCATTCAGAATGTGATGAATTTTAAGAATATTGTCATCTTTGTTAAGAAGAACACTACCATTTCATTTATCAGGTCTGGTAATCAGGACATTCCTATGTGCTCCAGATTTTTTAATGAGTCCTATTCAGCAATAGAAAGAACAAAAGGCTTCTTATTAGGGTTATAACTGTGAAGAGAATCAAGAGCAAGACTGTCAGTGTATGTCCTAAGTTTTTCAAAAGTTACATCATCAATTTCAATTTGAAGCTCAGAAATTCAACTAAAACTTGAGTTTGAAAGGAGGAAAAGCAAATAACACAAGACAACACATACTACTGTACTGAATGCCAACTTTGGAAACTATTGGTTCATCAAAATCAATTTAATTCATATGTTAACATGTAGACCTCTTCACCATCACACAAATACTTCCAAAAATTATTTTCCTTTTGACTTTATGAATTATAATATAAAAAGTAATTCATGATAGATTTGACATTCTTTCTCAACTTAACTCAAACTTAAGTTTTGCCATTAAGACAATATGCACAACTGTTAATGTCAAAGATTCTTCAATTAACTTTTACTAAGAATTTAATTCATTTGAACTTTTGTTTATTATGTCCTATTGTAATTAGTTTCATATCCAGAAATATCATTGTGAGATCAATTCCTTTTGTAGTTTGTATTGTTTCGAAATATTTCAACTTTGTAATTGGTCTTTTTAATAGCTATTCTTTTAATATGAGAGCCTAAGATTACAAAGTTTGTTTGAGAGTATTGATGATTGAAATTTTTGTGTGAAAATACTGGTTATATTAGGCTTGGACCTTAGAAGGCATGTCCTGAAAGTGACTAACGTATATTTTAACATGTATATATATTATTTTGGAAATTTTTTATGAATGGATTGTCTTTGAGTTGAATACAAAATATGGTTGAAAAATAATTAATTAATAAAAGAATATTTCATTTTTAATGCTTAGAAAAATTTTCTGTTTTTTAAAGCTGTTCTGTTTGAAGATGCTGTGGTATTGGGAGCAGAAAATGACACTGTACCATATAGTGCTCGCTATACTAACGGTTTACCATTGTGTGTGATATCTCGCTCAGTGAGTTTAATTGTAGTTGTATCTTAAAAAAAAAAATGTTTAATGTTTTTTTTCAAAAAATTAAATTGTAGTTGAATCTTATTTGAAGTTGTAATAAATAGAGCTTGGTGATTAATGGTATTTGCTAATTGATTAATTGGCAGGCTCATTAATCAGTTAAAAAGGCCCCACCACCACCCACCATATAAGCAAAAAAGAAACAAATAGGGGTGTGCTAGCTTCTTAAATTTGTGAACTACTGCATTATTTTAACACGTTCTTGGTCTCAACCCATTTTCATCAAGTTTTTTTTTTACTAAGTAATTTCCAAATTACCTTTATTTTGTATTGTAAGCTTCTTCTGGAGGTAACCATTTGTTCATTTTGCAAAACATATTTTTTAGAAAAAATATTTTCTCGCATATTTTTTTTCAACATAATCTGGACATTCTGTACTTGGCAGATGAATCATTAATGTTGATAAACATAAGGTTGCCCTTTTGTTTGTTTTTACAATATGCAGTACTCTTCCCTCACCAATTTTGTGTAAATCAAATAAATTGATATTTAAATAATGAAAACGTTTTATTATCACCAATAAGGGTAATAGTTTTTATTTAAAATATATGATTACAATTAGAAATAATTAAGTAGCCAGATAGCCAGTTTATTTATATTGCTTGAATAGGATAAACATAAAAGTAATATTCAATAAAGATTTGAACCATCAGAATATGTTACACTTGTCTACCATACTCACTAAACAGTAAATATAACTTGTCTGATTTGATGACAATTTGATTTGGTAAACATAATTTTTATGTTTTATTAGTAAATGATCAAATCACTTGTTGTGGCACCATAAATATTATTCTTGTCACATTAATGGATTTACTCATAGCTTCAATCATTTAATTAGTTTATGTGACACTAATTGGTGTAGTCAAGTTTGTCAGTTAACTCACACAGGCCTAATAATAAATTTGAGTATTCACATATACTAAACTTTAATAAAACAAAACGTTTAATAAAATGATTAACAAACCAAAATGATTAAGAACTACAAGATATGACTAATGTATAGTTATTACTATTAGTTACCAGATTTTTTATTTGTATTATAATTAAGAAGTTAAGTGTGAATAGAACATAGATATAAATATGTTTATAAAAACTGTTTTAATAGTAGATTTGTACTAAAAGAATATTTTTTAAATGTGGTTTTATCTTTCAGAGTCAAGTGTACCTTCATCATATTCTCCGACAGTTACTCAGAAGAAAGTAAGATCTGTGATTGTTCAACTTGTACTTAAAGCTATGAAAATTTTAGTTATCTCATATTGCATTGATGGTTTTTGGTAAAAACCTTTGAAACAATTATTTCATTGTTCAACAGTTTCTGTTGTTAATTTGTTTGCTCTACTGTATTCTAAAAATTTAAGAAAACCAAATAGAGGAGAAAAAACTTAAAATGTTTTTTGTATTATTGTCAAGTTTTAGAAATGTATATGCCAATAACTGTCGTAAAGAACATGTATATTTGAAAACTTAGTTTATTGTACTGGTAGAAAATAGGTTATTAGTAAAGATACTGTAATATATATTCTCTCTGCCAAGAAAACTGCTTTACACTGATCTTACAGATTATAATATCAAAGCAAATATTTTACCTTTCTAGTAAAGATGTGTTTTATAGCTTATTTTCCATTCTGTAAATAACACAATTAATCTTTGTGACAGCTTAATATATCAGATTAAATATTTTTATCTCCTTTGTAATTAATCTTTGTGACAGCTTAATATATCAGATTGATTATATTTATCTCCTTTCTAAAGAAATTTTATACTTGAAGATTATTATTATTATTTATAATTTCTATGATTATATTTATCTCCTTTCTAAAGAAATTTTATACTTGAAGATTATTATTATTTATAATTTCTATGATTATATTTATCTCCTTTCTAAAGAAATTTTATACTTGAAGATTATTATTATTGTTATTTATAATTTCTATAGAAATACCGTACGTAGCAATTGAATAAAATTGTAGTAGTAATCAATACTACAGTGTAGAATATCTAGTTTTGGAAGTAGTTAAAAGGTACTTTGGCCCGGCATGGCCGGGTGGTTAGGGAGCTCGACTCATAATCTGAGGGTCGCGGGGTCGAATCCCCGTCCCACCAAACATGCTCGTCCTTTCAGCCGTGGGGGTGTTATAATGTGACGGTCAATCCCACTATTCATTGGTAAAAGAGTAGCTCAAGAGTTGGCGGTGAGTGGTGATGACTAGCTGCCTTCCCTCTAGTCTTACACTGCTAAATTAGGGACGGTTAGTGCAGATGGCCCTCGTGTAGGCTTTGCACAAAATTCAAAACAAACAAAAACAAAAGGTACTTCAGTATTCCTGTGTAGTAAAAATAGCTAAAGATTGTTTTTTGTAAGTAACAGATAACTGAACATCATATTTTAAAAGCAGATAAAAAGTACCCAAACTTTAAATATGGGAGGATATTAATATAGTGAGGCATGTTAGTTTTCTTTCTTAGTCTAAAGAACTTGTTATTGTATATGACAGTTTAGGATATCATGCCTGGGAAATAGCCAGAAGGTGTTCCAATCTTCCATATTTTCCTCATACACAAGAGTTACTGCTCCACGAAGTACTTGAAGAAGAAGCTACTTCATCAGAACCAATTCCAGGTACAAAAATCCTGCAGTGTGTCCTGAATGATTTTTATATTTATTGTTTTGCTTTGATGGATAGATTAAGTACATATTTGTAAGGCAATGAAAATTTAAAAAGAAAGTTATTGGTAACCAAGTAGTTTGTTTTGTGATTTAAAACCATTTTTTAAAGTAAGAAATAACTGTATTTTAATACTTTGAATCAGTGAGTGATTTATATAAAACATGACTGAAGTGAGAGAATTAATAATTATGTAGACTGTCTATGGGGTATTAAGTCTGTTTTACTTTATCATATAGTAATGTAAATTAATTTAGGTATGTGAATAACATTATATTTCATCGAATTCCTTGTTCGAAATTATAAAGTGGACCAACTGTTTAATGATTGCACATATACAGTTGACAAATATATTAAATCAAAACATAAATAACAATATGTACCATCTATTTACTTCAACTATATATAGTAACAACTCATACAGTTTATTTTAAAACAATAGGCATTCTTTTGAATGTAAGACAGTTTATGAATTATGAAAGGGGTTTGAGCCTTTTTTAATTCACCATATAATAAATTGAATT